AAATAAAAACGATTAGCACCAAAGGAGGCTGAGTAAAACATTTCTGAATCCCAAGTTCAGGTTTTTTCCTTCTTGATTGCTAGAGCTTCGTCTGTAACAATAGTATGTGGACGAAATCCTTTCGAAATGCTTTGATCTTAATTTATATTTGACCTTAAATGAAATCTGTACTGATGTAGTGTGATCAGTAATAATAATGAGCAATTTGAAGAACGTCCTTTGCTGTATCTTTATACTTCGCCTTCACCAAAAATACTCTTCTTCACCAAAACGTCAAAGACAAGATCACGCAGTTGGTAACTTCCCTGTGCACTAACCATTTCATTTGCTCCTGTGAATCCCAGTAAACAGGCCGCAAAATAAGGTGTGTTTATTGTCAGATTTTCGAACACCATCCTGCGTAGTTAAGTAGGGGACAAGCAAAGTTCACTCACAATTCTATATTGTCTCATGTCAAAGATACAGAACACAAAATTGATGTCAGTAAGGCCTTCAAAGTCATTTTTTGTATTTCGGAGGCTGTTACAATCTACATGAAGCTTCTTAATGTATATTTCCAAAAGAAATTGGTACAGCCGCTTTCCTTATCTCGGCTATCAAGGTGTTAATGATCCTTAATTTATTGTAGAAACTTGCTTAATTTTTATTTGATATTCCATTTACCATTACATTTGTATGCTTATTATAATATATGCATCTTTCATCAACTGTAATTTCGCTGACCTTAACAAATCAAGAGTAACTGATTATACATGTCAGTTACAATTTTCAGAAGATTGGTTACTGAACAAAGAATATTCTTTTCGATAACACCCCCTTCATCAGGTTCTACAGTTATACATACATAACAGTCAGTGAATTAGTGTTATTATTGATTCGATGTTATTTAAACAACATTGATGTTGTTAATGACACTAATTCACTCACTGATATAAGGATAAACTTGGTCACTGTGGTAGAGTACAATTCCATTATGGATAAAATTTTATTTGGATAAAGTTACACAGTGTTGTTATAATAAGTAATATTTACTGATGAACACGTTTCCAGCACAAATGATTGCCACTCATAATCATATCAACGTGCTCACACAACTTTCTTGCTTTATTTATATCCATGATTAGAATTGATTAGACACTTGAATAAAATCAATATAAGATAAAATACATTCGGAAATAGTACTGTAACAAGATACGGAAACCCAGGTTTATTTTCCATTGTGATCAAACCGCTATGTATGTATATACAGTTTATATTCTATAACCAGTCACTGAGCGTGTGATTCTGGGTTACATTAAATACCATGAAATAGAATGTTGAAATAAATGTATAGTATTCTTTTGCTAATGCAGTATTGAAATGTGGGAAGATGTGAGATTATATTCCGTTGAAACATATTGTCTGCATCACGCCACTAAAATATTAGTGTTACCAATAAAATACAATAAGATGTGAAATAAGTCTGAAGTGACTTGTTGGAAATCCTTTTCGTGATATGCACTGCAAGTTTCTGACTCATATAAAAGAACTTACTTTACATTTGCGTTGAAAATCCTAATCCTGTTCTGTATGCTGAGGTAGAGTGAAGCAGATTTCTGAACTGATTTCAGGTTGAAGAGGGCGTATCTTTCCTTTACGATTTCGTCTGGCCGTGCAGTGTACCTGCGGTTGAAATCGTACTTCCTGGTCAGATAGGTGAAGGAAGTAACCTCTATCAAATCCCTCCTGTTGATAATGATTGGTGACGATTGTTTTTGCTGTCTTTGTTGGTTGGTTATTTTCATCACCTCCGTCTTCTCTATGTTCGGATACATAGATTTTATTATTTTCTTTTATTGGTGAACGCTGTTTAGTTTTTGAGGGAAACATGTCATCCAAATTGATTCTTTTAACTCAATACTAATGTATACCTAGTCACAAAATGCATCTTCTAACTCTGAACAGTTGACATTTGGATGGATACAGACACTCTTACAGTGAACTAGGAGTGATTCTTTTAAAATTTATACAAAATCATGCGGAATGCTCATTATGACATGAAAGAATGAGAGACAAAAAGCATAGAGCTAGACGATTTCATTCAGAAAAACTTTAAAATCTGACTTTATTCATAAGTTCACGTAGTTACGATTATTATTTAATTCAAAACAGTAATGAAGGGGGACTAAAGGTGATATTTATCTGGTTGCAGGTTTAAACACGAGTTGACATAAGTTAGAGAATCATTAAAAACCAGCAGCAAGTACTGGACAGCGGTTTCGCCAGCTTAGTTTGAGACTTTTTCAGTACACATCCACCTCCGGTGTTCGAATTCATTACTTGCTGGTTACAAGGCGAGCATGTAGACCATTCAGCCACTGGGACTCGATCCAATGGCCTGTGAATTCCAACTTCTGTCAATTCGTGGTATACAAGTGAACAGAAGTTGGAATCCATAAGTCATTGGATCGAGTCCCAGTGGCTGAATGGTCTACACGCTAGCTTTTTAACCGGAAGTTCGTAGGTTTGAAACATGGAGGTTTGTGTGCTTATGAGAAGTCGCAGACTAGGACTAAGCAGCTTCCTGGTACTTACAGGTTTTCCAATGCTTCTCTAGCTCGAACCGGTAAGCAATCAAATCTCTGCAAACCAACACTTAACAGTTACTTCCAAAAAGATATGAAAGTTGTTTGTGAATGTGATGAAGGATGACTAAAGATGGCAAGGGGCATAGAGACAAAACAACACAGTATTAGCTAGGTAATTGAGTATTATGTTAAATAATTTGTGCCGAAGACAATTGTGAACAAGTCGAGCACGTGGACAAGTCGGAACAATAGTTTACTTATTGGAAATAAAAAGGTATGCAGGGAACGGAAGGAAACAACTAAGGATGTGAAAAGGTATTCCATCTTAAATGCTTACATTCCTGTAAACTGTTTCTCAACGAAATGAATCTTGTTGTTTCTACATTCATATATTGAGACAGTATTATTTACTGGATTACATTTCCAGAACAATTGTTTTTGTTCATAGTCATATCTTCAATGGTAACAATGCAACTTCAAAATTTCTGTTTTATAGTTTTCTTTATTCCTTCCCATTTGACTGATATAGAGGTAGTAGAATATTTTGGATGTATGGGAAACGTGTTGAATACTTTCTATTGCATGTAGTTTCAGTTAACTCGATGAATAGAGCTTAAGTTATCAATCTCTAACTCCCTATCTTTCCACTTTGTTATGTTACACTTTAAGAATGTCATATTATCCCATCCTGTTGTTTGATTATGTTTAATAGTGATAATAATGGCTTTATTCCAAACAGTACGGCTGATACGGTGTGGAATTTTCAGCATTTAATGCAATATTGCATCTAATTTTGTCTTTACAAAATATAGGCCGGAGAAAATAATTTACCGGGTATTTAAACTGATAGTATTTTTCAGTAAAATATGAATATAAAATTAAATAGGAATATTAAGAACAATAGATCAATGAAAGAAAGAATAAAAGGAGCATTTTTATTCAGTGTTTCTCAGTGAGTTAGTAGTGACATGCATTACACATTTCCCAACGCTCAAAATGTCTCGGTCAAATAAGGTATTGTAGGTTTTATACTGTCATTTGAGCATAAAGTCTTCTACAGTTGCTTCTACTCTTACCTAATGAGATGCAAGGGGAGAGTTGTGTATAAAGAGAATATTCAAAGTCCAACATTGTGATACTCGCCAATTTCTTTCTTAAATTCAAGTATTTATTGTTTGGTGTTAACACGCTTGCCGTACCGGCAACTTTTAGTTTTACAAAGTCTTTCTTAAGTAGCCGAGGTAAGACTGAGAAAGAGCAATACAGTAGAATGGGTAGAAGGCAAGAATGACCAAAGTGTAAAAGAAGAGAATGAGTGACAGTAAACTGTTTTAACTTTCCTAAGTAGAAGGTTTGATGAAATAACTTTCTAGAAATTAACATGATGTGGGAAGACCATGAAAGATCAGAGAAAAGGCATAATCGAAGTTATCTGACTTTCGACTTCCTTTCAAATTCAGTACCATCTATTATATAAGAATCATGAGAAAGAACCAGTTCATGCAAGTCACGATTGTGTATGAAAGTGAGATTAACAACCAGAAATTTGGAGAGATTTAGTCTGAGATCATTTGAAAAGTATCACTGACTAATTTCTGATAAGAAGCTATTCATTTTGGAATATTCTGACTGAGATGTGATTGGTGTAGAAACAGTCAGATCACTGGTATACTTAACAAAATTGGCTTCATCAGAATGAGACAAGTACGTCATGTAAGAAGAAAGAAAACATAAATAGAGAGAGAATAACACCTTGAAGGATACCGGTTGGAGTAAGCAGAGCTGTGGAGGATTTTCCACCATATACAGTGTACTGCTTCTTATCAGAAAGGAAAGGATACGTCCATTTAGTATACCAGAACCCTGTTTGTGCCACGGAAAGCTTGTTTAATAAAAGAAGCATAGGAACAGAGTCAAAGCAGATGTACAGTCGAGAGAAGCATCTTTGTATAAAGTGCAGACAATTTTATGATGTAAGACGGCAGTGGCGTCTTAAGTATATCTACCATGTTTATAAGCACAATGTTTTGGGCTGTTGAAAACCTTCAATGATGGAAGGTTCAAGGTTACTTAGAAGCAGTTATTACAGTAAATTACTCCAGATTTTGTTAGGTTTTTCTGCTTAGTTAGTCTAATTCGCCCAGTCCTACTGCTTTGGTCTGCGCATTTGACCGAAACGTCATTTCAGGGTATACGATAAACTAAATTATTTGAGTCATAATGATATTAATAGCTTCATTCTACTCAAGGGTCCTCTGAAACCTGAAGGTAAAAAGAATTCTTATCAAGTCGACAGGGATAAAAGTGGCACTCAAACCTACAGACTCTTACTTACAATGTGGTTGTATTACATATATTTATTTCATTTTTGGTTAATATTAATCAATAATCATTCTTCATGTGTATTTTCACTGACTGACCGTTCAACTCTAGGTGTTGTCTGTTCTGGTGACATTTCACACGATATGACAATGTCAATTGCAATCGGTCTATCACTGTGTGCATTAGTTGTCTGTGTTCTCTTCGGTTTGGCGATCAATCATTTAAGACAAAAGGATCAAACATTCAAAGCTGTCGATACAACAGGAGATGATTTGAAATGATCACACTAAAACGGTTACTATCTATTGTCAAGAATACAAAGATGCATTGCTCCACTAGAAAACCAAATGGACAATCTTTCGATAATGATTTCAAACACTATATATATCAATGAATTATGTATGCATTTCTTCTTCTTTTGATTTTAATTTTTTTTATTCGTATATATTTTCAAAATAAAACTCCATTTTCTTGTTTTAATTAGCATTTAACATTGAACATTGTTGTACATTTATCAGATCATACTAACATAATTACATGGTGTGAATTTTATTCAATATATACCTCTTTTATACTAAGTAAATTGCATCAACTTCGTTAACAGCTGTCAATTAATCTAGTCTTTTCCCACCTTTATCATTAATATTATTATTAATATTTTTTATAATTTTCACGAATTTTTCAAATCTCATAAAACCAAATAATACTATTGTATTGATGATAAGTAATCAAGATTTTCAATTTTCAATGATTTCTTGTTCCGTTTCTGTTATAACTGCAATGATTGAAAGTAAACCCCGTCGCCAATTTGTTGTATCTGTAGCGGTAGGGGAATTAAATGAGGACGTTGTCGCCTTGTTCTGTCTGCGCCTGACTAATATGCCTATCTGCTTCTGGTACCTTCCGATTCAGCGAACCACGCAAATATCAAAAGACAAAGTCTGGTCTGTGACTGTGTATTGTAGTACAACAACTACGACAAACTACGACGACAAAGAAACTTATTTAGGAAATGGTATTTATACAGTTTTACAACCAATAGAGACAGCTAACAGTATTTGAAATAATTGGTCGTAATAGTCAATAACAAAATGCGTGGGAATGATGATATACCACTTATGCGAGATTAACAGTCGTTAAGATAATTGAACAATAACAAAGTGTGTGGGATCCTATCAGTTTCCATGATGATAAGATAATGAATAAAATACAGAGATGTCTTTGAACGCTTTTGGATTGTGGGTGTTCAGAAGGATTTGTTAGATTTCGTCATGAACCATAAGTCATCGTAACCAGTGAAACAGGTGCTCAATGAAGGCATTGACTGAGGATAATAAAGCTATATCAATTACGAATTGACAAAAGTAAGTAGAATTCATGGATCATTAAGGTCAGCTCAGGTGGTTGAGTAGTCAGAGACTTTCGGTCTCTTAACTTGGAGGTTTCGAGTTCCAGCCCTTTCAACGAGTCCTAAAGGATGGAGATCTTGTTGAAGAACCTCGACAGTTTTGTAGTTTAAGACACGCAAGAAAGGGTAATAAAGCCTGGATTTAATGAATTCATCAAATTTCAGTAGAACTCCTCTTCAGTAGGATACTTTCTACATACAGGGATATAAAATTGAGATAAAATGCACCGCGCTTCACTTGCATCACTTTAATCAACAATTAGTTAGTTATCAGTGAGTGAAAGAACTTGATCATATCAAGAATTGAGAACTAAATTTGACTGATGATTATAATAATAACAACCATGGTAATATTAGTTATAACTAATAACAATGATAATAATGTTAAAACGAATCAGGATAATTGTAATGATAAAAGATCGTATTGAATGAATCAGGAAGAGAGAATAAAAAGCGGTAGAATAAAGTATTATTAATAATACTGATAATAACGGTTATTAAGTGAAACGTTTTACCATGGTAAATCCAGAGAGACCACCATTTATTTTTGTTCACAGAGATCAGGTTTACAAATCCTGATTTCACAAGACTCCACAATTGCAAGCATCTTCCTGTTGCTTTGTCTGCTCTCTGACATTAGTGGATGACTTGACAGCGTCAATTTCATGTCATGTCGTGTCAACAGTGTCAATTTTGTGTTTAGATGCAAAGTTAACAAATAAACGCCTCAACGGTTCTGTTTGTCGTTGTTTTAATTGCTGTCAGCTAGTACACCATGCGATGAGTCTCTTTTTCTGTATTAAATATCCAGTGAAACATAGTTTAAGCTAATGTGTTTTAGAATTAATTTTTATTTAGAATTATAATGTTTTCAGTAAATTGATTGAGTCACGAGCTTCATAAATAAAGTGTGATTCAGGTATCGTTTCTAAGACGACGACAGTCACGCCTTTCACTTACTTTGGAAATATCCTCACAGATGCATGCAGTGCTGATGAGAATGTCAAAGCCAGTTGACGACCGTTAGGCACAACCTCAATGTGGTGGTTACGCTCTCATATTACAATGATCCAATGAGATAGGCTGACTGGAACTAATGTTCTTGCAGGTCCTACCATGCAAGGAGGTTTGTGTGGATGGCAACTGGATTAACAGCAGTCACTGTCATAGTGCGATTTGTTTACGCTATATTGAAGGGCGGGACTATGGGTGAAATTGTGTTGCTAGGGAATAAGGATTTAACGGCAGTAAAATTCTTCCAACAGATGGACAGCATTGCAGAAATACTTCCTCTGTGTTATGCAGAGAGGGGTCTCAGAAAAGGCTGATCCTGGAGATTTTTCATCCTGATACGCCTTGCGGTGGTCCGTAGTTGGCGATAGGATCATATAACGAATGTAATACTAAAGGCAAGTTCAAACAGGCCATGTGTGACCAGTCACAATCAGTTGTCTGATGGCCTCTGCAGTCACGAAACAGTAAGGTGTTTTCTCTTCCAGGCACTTCTAGAAGAAATCAACTTCTCCAGTGGGCGTAGCCAGGAAGTAACCATCACCCACACGCTTTCGAAAGCATACAAAGCTCTCCTGATCCCGTTCGTCTGCGTCAAGTTCATTTTGTTCTCATCCTTCGGTTAGTAAGTACTATTCCATAAACAGATACCTGACGTTCTCTTAACTAAAGACGACGAGAAACGAAAAAACACCACTGGCAGTCTCTAAAAACCATGTTTTCAACTTGATATTGGAGCATTTAACGTCAGGACTCTTTCTGGAGTCAAACAACAAGCATCACTAGACAGAACCCATTACTAAACCAAAGATGGACTCATATAGATCACACATACACAACATTTTTGCTTCATTTATATACATGAGTAAAAATTGACTAGACATTTGAATAATGTTAGATTGTAAAATGAAATTAATAGATGAAGGTAGACTGCACACTAGCGTTTTATAAAAAGCCAACGTATTCTGTTGATAGATATTTAGAAACTTAATTCATCTTATCGATTGTCTTTCTGTGAAGGCAGGCTTAGTTAATTGTAAAACAAACTGAGCAGTAGCACTAAGTAGTATACATCAAAAAACCTAAACGATGAAATGAAACCGATTGAGGGAGCGTTGGTATCAGATAATTATCCTAAAAAATTCGTTAGGAGAATATGAAAAGGTCAAAGGCTACATGAAAACAATAGTGAAACCAATAATGATAATATAAATAAGAAAGAATATAAGGTATCTACAGTTTTACAATATAAGTGGGGGACATCGGAGGCCCTACGTAGGATTCTTAATAAAGCAGGAATTAGGGTGGCATTCAAACCTACAAAATCACTCAGAGACAAGCTTTGTGGACTAAAGGACCCTGTGGACCCAATTTAGACAAAATAATATAATTTACAAAATACCTTGCAATAACTGTTAAGTCAAATACATAGGTCAAACTAGAACATCGGGTGTATTCAGATTGTCAGGACATAAGAATTTAGCTAAGGGTAGAATGATTGATCCCACGAAGATAAATAATTAAAAAACTCAGAAATCCCACTGCATTCATTGACAAACTACCCCACCATAGGATGGTGGGAAGGAGTTAAAATTCTAAGAAGTAATAAAGGTAGGTGGAGAGAAAGATTGATTACTGAATCTTTCTCCATCTAGTCCACACCCAACACGTGCTAACGGAGTGACTCGACACCAACACCAGAGATATGTAAGATATTATTACCATAAGTCGAATCAGAGGATGATAAATAATGTTGAAATTTATTTCGATTCACATTGTAACATTCCAACAAGTAATTTATTTTAGTATAAAAACATCTTATTGCCCCTCCTATTGTATTTGGTTGATAACACTAATATTATTTCCGAATGTATTTTATCTTATATTGATTTTATTCAAGTGTCTAATCAATTCTACTCACGGATATAAATAAAGCAAGAAAGTTGTGTGAGCACGTTGATATGATTATGAGTGGAAATAATTTGTGCTGGAAACGTGATCATCAGTAAATATTACTTATTATAACAACACTGTGTAACTTTATCCAAATAAAATTTTATCCATAATGGAATTATATTCTACCTCAGTGACCAAGTTTTATCCTTATATCAGTGAATGAATTAGTGTTATTAACAACATTAATGTTGTTCAAATAACATCGAATCAATAATAACACTAATTCACTGACTGTTATGTATATATAACTGTAGAACCTGATGAAAGGGGTGTTATCGAAAATAATATTCTTTGTTCAGTAACCAATCTTCTGAAAATTGTAATGAGGATATATAATCAGTTACTCCTGATTTGTTAGGATCAATGAAATTACAGTTGACGAAATATGCATATATTATAATAAGCATACAAATGTAATAGTAAATGGAATATCAAATAAAAATTGAGCAAATTTCTACAATAAATTAAGGATCATTAACACCTTGATGGCCGAGATAAGGACTAATGAACATGAAAATGAGAATAAGAATACATTTGGAGAGGGAGGGTTTTTTTGAAATCCGGTGATATTTTCTTGTCTGATGACGTTCAAAAAGAGGCATCAATCAATTGCTTCCACTGTATCCACAAATATTTAAATTTAAAAAGAAATGAAACGGAATAATGGAAGAAATACATAGAGATAAGAAGATTGAATTTACGAATGAGACATCATCAAATATCATCGATAGAACAAAGTGAATGACGCACCACTCAACCGCAGCATTAGACTCTCCTCACAAATGACGAAATGATGCAAAAGGAAATACACTTCAATGTAGCCACTGGCTGATGGATTAAAGCCTGAATAAGAAGACGTCATTCCAGATTTACAAGTAGCAATAAGTGCAATAGATAAGACAACTG